GATAGCAATGACTGTCATTAGTGGTAAACACAAGCCACACAGGGCAAGGGCTCTGGACAATAACGGCCTATTTAACCTGCCATTGTCCTGCAAAGGCTGCTCACCAGGAGGATCAGCAGACAAGGGCAGATGGAGCTGTGTTATATGGCAACACTGGGCAACCTGGTCCAAACCATCACTGCTCCTCCCATCATTGCCACACCACCTGGGAGACCACCAAAGGGAAGAAGATCAAGAGAGACGGAGGAGAATTACTATGACTCGGTCTCGATGATCATGTCATCGAAGATTCATTCACTGACTATTCTCTGGCTAAAATAGGCGCAAGTGATCGAGACACTGGACTCTGTTCTGCTCTGCTCACTTAGTCCTGAACTTGACTGCCCTTCCCCCACTGCCTCACTTTTTTCACTTGCAAAACCAGACAAAATGCTAGACATTCTACTCACCATCAGATCCAGGAAAGCCTACAGGGAACCACACAGTGTGAAATCAGCTCCAGCTCAGCAGGCAGGTATTGCAGGCAGAGCGTGCAGCCATGCCCACCCACATTTCCCACCTTCACCCTCAGGCACAAGACGCCACCTTCTAACCACCAGCTCCTGTACAGTATTTCTTGGTGAAACCCTCTTGCCCACCCTGGTAGGAAGGAGGTACCAGGGACGAGGGCTCCCTGTGACAGCCCTCAACCAGGGACAGGCGGGAGCCATTGTATAAGGACACGTGTTCTACCCTGGCTGAGTTCCCAGCAGGTCGGGCTCCAATGGCCCACAGCCATAACGAGTGTGATAACCCACTCTTGACTGGCTGCCCGCCCTTCCTTGTCTCACTTTCCCACTCTGATCAGTAGCTCCTTCAGGTCACAAGTAATCTACTTGCCTTTGTGTCACTGTTTCAGGGTGGGCTTCTGCAGGAATGCAAACTAGGACAACAGGTCTTCTCTGGACAGGACACCACATTAGACAGAGCTGAGAGAGGTCTAGACCAGAGAGGAAAAAGAATTCAGCTTCAAAGACAACAATAGCAAAACTGGTTCTCTTAGGAAGAGTCTGAACGTCATAAAGCCATCCTTCTTGTCTGAAAAGCTTCCTTGCAGAAAGAGCTCAGTGGGTCTGAGGGAAGGGGTGCACCTCTCGAGGTAGATGCCAGCCCCGCAGTGGGCATGCGGTGCCCCCTGCCCTCCCTTGGCTCTGTGTGTGCCTCCCTTCCTTTGCTCAGGGGACTGTGGGTGAGTGGCACAGCCTTCAACAAAAGTGGCTCTGCTCTTTGGCAATGGTCTTTTCTGTGGCACAGCGTAAAATGAGCATTAAACAAACTTCTAGAATGAGCTATGCTCAATAGCTATAAAGAACCAAGTGGTTTCTTAGTTAGCATATGAGAGCGTGGGGTTGAAGAGGGAAGGAGGAGGAGGAGAAGCTGGGGAAAAGGAGAGGGAATGGGAGGAAGAGGAGAGAGAAAGAAAACGTCAGAAATAAAATTAAGTTGATAAAAGTAAATGACTGCTGCACAAACAACCACTATCTTTCCTGAACCTGGAAAGGAAAATGAAAAGGAGAAAAAAGAGAAGCAAAACAAGCCCTGATTATGTAGATTGGCATGTACTGAGATGAAGATGCACCAGCTTTTCCTTTTTGTTCTGTGAAAACCTCACTGTATTCTTTATATCTCAATCCCATGAAAATACTTGTGAGATTATAATTATGCTTATATTATTAAAGATAATTAGTCTGGGTTATTCTTGATGTCTCAGGACTGTGCCTTCTGCTGCTCAGCCCAAAGTGACCTCACAGAAACACAATTTATGTGTGAAGTGGGTTTCTTGTACACAACGTATAGCTAGGTCTTGTTTTTTGACCCACTACGACAGTCTGTCTTTTGACTGGTGCATTTAGACCACTGACATTCAATGTGGCGACGACACACCTGGATTAACAGCACCGTATTTTTACTGTTTTCTATTTGTTGTTCTTATTCTTTGTTCCTATGTTTGTCTTCCACTCTTCTGCTGCCTTTTGTGGGGCTATATGTGTGTGTGTGTCTCTGTGTATGTGTTTTGTTTTTTGGTTTTTCTTTTTGAGATGGAGTTTCGCTCTTGTTACCCAGGCTGGAGTGCAATGGCGCGATCTCGGCTCATGGCAACCTCCGCCTCCTGGGTTCAGGCAATTCTCCTGCCTCAGCCTCCTGAGTAGCTGGGACTACAGGCTGCACCACCATGCCCAGCTGATTTTTGTATTTTTAGTAGAGACGGGGTTTCATCATGTTGACCAGGATGGTCTCGATCTCTTGACCTTGTGATCCACCCGCCTTGGCCTCCCAAAGTGCTGGGATTACAGGCGTGAGCCACCGCACCCAGCCCGTGTATGTGTGTGTGTTTTGAGACAAGGTTTGCTCTGTTGCCCAGGAAAGAGTGCAGCGATACTGTCATAGCTCACTGCAGCCTCAACCTCTGGGCTTCAAGGGATCCTCCTACCTCAGCCTCCCAAGTAGGACTATAGGTACATGCCACCACACCCAGATAATTTTTTATTTTTTTGTAGAGACGGGGCGGAGGGCAATCTCACCACATTGCCCAGGCTAGTCTGGAACTCCTGGCCTAGAGTGATCCTTCTGCCTTGGCCTCCCAAAGTGCTGGGATTACAGGCTTGAGCCACTGTACCCATTTTCTCTCCTTTCTTAGTATATCAGTTGGTCTTTCTAAAATTTTTTTTAACTTTTTTAGTGGCTGCCCTAGAGTTTGCATGTACAGCTCATCTACAGCAATCCAAGTGCACTTTCTTTCTTTTTTTTTCTTTTTCTTTTTTCTTTTTTTTTTTGAGACAGGGTTTCAGTCTTTTTGCCCAGGCTGGCGTGCAATGGTACAATCTCGGCTCACTGCAACCTCCAACTCTTGGCTTCAGGTGATTCTCCTGCCTCAGCCTTCTGAGTAGCTGGGATTACAGGCATGTGTCGCCACACCCAGCTAGTTTTGTATTTTTAGTAGAGACAGGGGTTTCTCCATGTTGATCAGGCTGGTCTTGAACTCCTGACCTCAGGTGATCTGCCCACCTCAGCCTCCCAAAGCGCTGGGATTACAGGCATGAGCCACCGCGTCCAGCCCCAAATGCACTTTCAAACAACACTATGCTGTTTCACAGGTACTATGAGTTCCTTATAATAACAATATAATCCTAATTCTTCTCTCCCATCCCTTGTAATATTGTTGTCACTTATTTTGCTTATACATAAGTATATATTTAAGTATACATAATACATTGTTATTACTTTGAACAGTTATCTGTTAGATAATTAAGAATAAGAAAAATAAGTTCTGATTGTGCTTTTACCTATTCCTTCTCTGCACTTTTTCATGTAGATCTAAGTTTCTGACCTATATCATCTTTCTCTCTAAAGAATTTCTTTTAACATTTCTTGCAAGGCAGGTCTACTAGCAACAAATTCCCTGAATTTTTGTTTGTCTGAAAAAGTCTTTATTCTCCTTTACTTTTAAAGGATAATTAAAAAATTCTAGGTTGGTGGGTTTTCTCTCTCAACCCTTACATCTCACTCCACTCTCTTCTTGCTTGCCTGGTTTCTGTGGGTAAGTCAGATGCTGTTCTTCTCTTTGCTTCTCTAGAGGTAATGTACTTTTTTCACTCTGGCTCTTTCCAGGATTTTTTCTTTATCTTTGATTTTCCGCAGTTTGAAAATGATATGCCCAGATTTAGTTTTTCTGGCATTTTCCTGATTCTCTGAGATTCCTGGATCTGTGGTTTAGTGTCTGACATTAACTTAGAGAAATCTCAGGCATTATAATTTCAAACGTTTCTTCTCTTCTTTTCTCTTCCTTCTCCTTCTAGTATTCCCATTACACATGCTATGCCTTTTGTAGCTGTCCCACAGTTCTCGGATATTCTGTTCTCTCTGTGTGTGTATGTGTGTGCACGCTCACGTGCACACACGTGTGTGTTTTGTTTTCTCTTCGCTTTCCAGATTTGGAGGTTTCTATTGAGATAAATTTACGCTCAGAGAGCCTTTCCTCAGCTGTGTCCAGTCCACCAATCCATCAAAACCCATCAGTGGTATTCTTCATTTCCGTCACTATGCTTTGCTCTCTGCCACTTAACTTGCTTTTTTCTTAGAATTCCCATCTCCCTGCTTACATCACCCACCTGTTTCTGCGTGCTGCCTACTTACCCATTACAGCCCCTCACGTTAATCAGAGTTAGTTTCAATTTCCTGCCTCATAATTCCAGCATCTCTGCTGTCTTTGAGTCTGGTCGTGAAGCTTGCTCTGTCTCTTCAACCTGTGTTGTTTGCCTTTTACTTTATTATTATTAATTTTGAGACAGAGTCCCACTCTATCACCCAAGCTGGAGTGCAGTGGCACAATCTTGGCTCACTGTAACCTCTGCCTCCTGGGTTCAAGTGGTTCTCTTGCCTCAGCCTCCTGAGTAGCTGGGATTACAGGTGCGCACCACCACACCCAGCTAAAATATATACGTGTGTGTGTGTGTGTGTGTGTGTCTTCTTTTTTTTTTTTAGTAGAGTCCGGGTTTCTCCACATTGGTCAGGCTGGCCTTGAACTCCTGACCTCAGGTCATCCATCGCCTCCGCCTCTCAAAGTGCTGGGACTACAGGCATGAGCCACCGCGCCTGGCCCTATTTGCCTTTTAGTATGTCTTAAATTGTTTTTTTGATAGCGGCTCTGACTGGGTAAAAGGAACTACCATAGAGAGGCCGCAAGTGTGTGGTGGGAAGGTCTATTCTGCAGACTACAATCAGGCCTCAGAGTTTTGGTGAGCTTGCGACCCTCAGCTAAACTCCACAAATGTGTCTCGGTCCTCCCTCCCACCCCCACCTTAAGTGGGCCGGGAGATAGCTAGGGTGGGCTGGCAAGGGGGTTTCCCTTCCCCCAGGTCAGTTAGGTGCTGGCAAAGCAGCAGCGGGCTGGCGACGTTTTTAGGAAGAGCAGAGTGCTCTGGCCTCTTTCAAAATGGTCCCTTTTCTTCTTCCCACTGCAGGAGGCACGAGGGGATTTTTCTCCATTATTCACTGTGAGAACTCGGGGAAGCTCCAGAAGATGAGGGACAGGGGACGGCGACTTGGTTCCTGCAGATCTTTAACTGTCAGACGTGCCCACTCTGCGCCTCCAGCAACTTGGCGATGACAGCTCAGGTCTTCCTGCCTCGGCACTGCCCAGGGCTTCTGCTCCGGTACCTTGTGAAGCTGCATTCTCCTGAAGCCGGTTTCTCCAATTCTGGGGACAGTGGTTTGTTCTGTGACCTTGCTTCCCTTATGGATCCAAGGAGACTTGCTTTTTCAGTTTGTTCAGCTTTTTGCTTTTTAGAATGGAATTGCAATTTGCAAGCTTCTTATATGCCAGACAGGAAACTGGAAGTTCCACACTTTAATTTTATACATATAAATATATACATGTGTACATATAGATGTATAGGGGTATTGTACATATACACATAAAATGATGATACATATAATGATGATATGTATTACTGAGAACGTAAAATATAATTACATAGTGATAGCTGGACACACAAGGGATTCACAACTCCCCAAAGAAAATACATCTGGATGACCTGCATAGGAATTTCCCCATGAGAAAGAGGAATGTCTCCGTATTTCATTCCCTGTCCCTGGCCTGAAACAATTTCAATCACTTGACAAATCATTATCATTCATTAATAATGTTTACTGAGTGCCCGTATGTGAAAGAAATCCACTATGCATCCCACAGATGCAGTTCCTCTCCCCACGGGGTTTCCATGTTAATGGGACAATGCCGAATACATCTGTCTTACCTTTATGTATATTCCGTTTGGGTTTGTTGTGGTTCTTTCTTGTTCTCTCTCCCTCTCTCTCTCTCTCTCTGGTCCAGAGGAATAATTTCCTGGTTTTGTAAACTAAGCTGGATCATTTCACTTCCATGAATCAGGGAATACTTTACGAAGGAATAAGGATTTACAGAGAACTGGGGATAAGAGATGGAGGGAAGCTGAACAGAAGGCAAACGAAACTGGCTGAGTCTCTTCAGAGCAGAGGACAATTCATGGTGGTGAGTCAGCTTGGATGGGGGAATGGGACACCTTACATGGGGATCAAGGAAGAATCAGTGGGGTCAAAAAGACCACGCCAAGAAGAGGTCGAACTGATGACAAGCAAATATTGCCCCAGTATTACAATTCCTGTTGCCCAACTCAAAATTACCCTGTCAGCTTGATGGGATAAAATTCTCAGACCCCATTGCATAGCCACAGACACTGAATCCCTTATTCTACAGCTTAGGAAGTCCGAAGAAGTAGACTGTATTTGTCTCTTCCAAAGCTCTCTACCAAAGATGATCGAGGTGTTGGAGAACTTTGTCTCTCTTAATTGTTCTGGTAACTGCTGTGCACAGCCAGGCTAAAAACTCATTGATAAGAATTCTCTCCCTGCTTCCCCAATGCAACTTCTAGATTGTACACTAGTACATGAGTACCAATGCAGAAACTTGTCTACACACAGAAACTGGCTGACCTGGCCTTTCAGTGTAGGGACCTTTCCTAAAAATATGAGTGTCACCCAGGGGTCTAAACAATTTGATGGATAGACCCTATATTGAATCACAAAGGTTTAGGAGTAGGAATTATCTAATTCAGTGTTTTGTTTTAATGAAGTAGAACTCTATTTTTTCCACTAAAATCATATGTTGAAGCAAAATAAATAACATTTGTGTAGTTGAAAACTGGGGAGGGAACGGGATCTCCACTGGCCGTCAAGTAAGAACTGTCTCAAAAAGTTCTCAAGAACCACTTACCTAGCCCAATCCCTCAATTTTCACTCCTGTCACCCAGGCTGGAGTGCAGTGGCATGATCCCAGCTCACTGAAACCTCCACCTTCTGGGTTCAAGTGATTCTCATGCATCAGCCTCCCAAGTAGCTGGAATTATAGGTGCGCACCACTACACCGGCTAATTTTTGTATTTTTAGTAAAGACAGGGTTTGGCCATGTTGGTCAGGCTGATCTCAAACTCCTGACCTCAGGTGATCCACCCACCTTGGCCTCCCAAAGTGCTGGGATTACAGGCATGAGCCACCATGCCTGGCCTATTTTAATTTTTTTAAACAAGGTGTTGCCCTGTCACCCAGGTTGGCGTGCAGGGGCACTATCATAACTCACTGCAGCCTGGAACTTCTGGCCTCAAGCAATCTCCCCACCTTGGTCTCCCAACAGTGCTGGGATTACAGGCATGAGCCACACCGCACCCTGTGCAATCCTTCCATTCCTATAGGTGAGGAAATGGATAGACGGAGAAGTCAGGTAAATTACCCAGGGTTATAGGACTAGGGGTAAATCTGGTTCCTAATGCTTAATCCTTTGCTCTTTCTACTATAACACCCTCTCTGAGAATCTATTCTGAACCCATGAAACTACCCGTGGCGATATTAAGCCACAAAAATTACTGACACAGTGCTTTCATTAAAGACTCCCCCTGCCCTCTCCATTTCCTGAGAACGAGAGGTTTCTAGTTCTTTGTACCACATTAACTCCAATTGGTAATTTTGAACTCCTTCTTTGCAGAAGTAATATAGATCAGATTCCATTAAATATATTGATACGGTGAAAATTTATTTTATTTTTAAATTCAAACCCAGCTTATGGTCTACAGACTTCAGTGAGATTTAATCAGCAAAAGTTTAGTACTATACTACAAAAGAATTTGGATGGTGTGTGGGATTTTACTATAAAAAGGTTTTGCCTATATTGTGTATATTGGCCTCATGTTGGTATCTTCAATAATTCTGACAGCAGTTGGCTTTCAAGTCCCTCACCATAAAAGTGGTTGCATATTATGAAATCCAACACTAGGATATCACTATCCCAGGACCCCAAGGAGTTTATCCCCATATCTTATTTAGTTACTTCCAAGTAATCTGCTGTGATATGCAATTTGCTACCCTGGCATAGAGAGGAGGAAAAGAACCATCAGCCACCCTAAGCCTAGAGTTCTGAGGCTCCCCCAAGTTTTCCTAGGCTCCCCCAACGCCTCGATGTGGCCTTTCTAGGACGTGGCTCTGTGATCCCAGCTTTGTCTGCAAGGAATCTTGGGTTATTTACAAGATCAGAGTCCTTATTAATGTAATTCTGTTCAAGGCAAGTTAAATGAATGAAACAGGCATGATGATGCGTGTCTGTGTCCCAGCTACTTGGAAGGCTGAGGAGGGAGGAGAGCTTGAGCCCAGGGGTTCAAGGCCGCAGTAAGCAGTGATAGTGCCACTGCACTCCAGCCTGGTGACACAGCAAGACCCTACCTCTAAAAAAAATTTTTTTTAATTTTAAAAAAAAAGGGAAGATAAGTGACAATTTGAAAGAAATGATACACATATTTGAAAGATGCAGGGGCAGGGTGGAAGCGGCCAGGGAGGACAAGGCAGGGCGTCGGCTTGTGGGACTGGAAGATCCATGTGAGCACCTCAGAGCGAGGTCTCTCATGGTCATTCCCACGCCACTGAGATTGGGGTTTCAGTAAGGACTGATTGAGGAAGCAACAGCAATGAAAAGGAGGCCACAAAGAACGAGGAAACTGTCTACATGAAGTATAAACTCAAGGCCCGCATCCAAGTAAAATATCAAATTGGAAAGAAAGAAGCAGAAACATTTCAGACGGCAAAGCTGAAACTCAGTGTCTGCGATGTGGCGACTTCGGTCTCCCTCTCATGCCTGACAGTGGAGTCAGAGCTCTGTCATGTTAGAGGCTGCGTCCCTGGCATGCGATGCCTCTGGCACAAAAGAACCCACTCACTCCGCAAGTGGTCTGGGCAGGGGACTAGGTGACATCACATCTCTGACTCCTGTTTCTCAGCCATTAGCTCATATCTGAAACCTGGTATTAGAATAGTTCATGCTGGGACACTCTCTGAACTCCGCTTGCCCTAGAGCTGGCACTGCTGCCTTACAAAGGGAGAAGGATTTTAATAGCATTAAAAAAAAACAAAAAACAAAGAAAGAGGATGAAATACTTGTAAAGCTTTTGATAGTATTGAGTCACAAACATATAAGCATGCAAATGGTAAGAGTACTGAATGTTCTAGATCATACACAATAAAAATTGTAGTAGAACTACCTTTTATGTTACCTCATGGAGCAGCAAGGCTAGGGTAGAGCTGAGAACAAAACTGAGACTTCTAAACTGAGGCTTTTGAACATCTCTCCCCATATATTGTTTTGGAGTGACACCCAGCTTTCTGAAGAACGCGGAGGGTGGAACATGGGCATCCTGCAGCACTGCAGAAAGAGCAACGGGCTTTAGAACTCAGTTATGCTGACTGGGCCAGGTGCGGTGGCTCACATCTGTAATCCCAACACTTTGGGAGGCCAAGGCGGGCGGATCACGAGGTCAGGAGTTCAAGAACTCAGTTATGCTGATTGTTTTCTGCATGACATAGAGCAGATGACCTAGCCTCTGGTCCTGTGTCCTCATCTATATTTATTTATTTATTTATTTTTATTTTTTTGAGACAGACTCTCGCTCTGTTGCCTAGATTAGAGTGCAGTGGCATCATCTTGGCTCACTGCAACCTGGCCTGCCAGGTTCAAGCAATTCTCCTGCCTCAGCCTCCCGAGTAGCTGGAACTACAGGTGCACGCTACTGCGCCTGGCTAATTTTTGTATTTTTAGTACAGACAGGGTTTCACATGTTGGCCAGGCTGGTCTTTAGCTCCTGATCTCAGGTGATCAGCCCATCTCTGCCTCCCAGAGTGCTGGGATCACAGGCGTGAGCCACTGCACCCAGCCTTGTTTCCTCATCTTTAAAATAGGACTATGAAAGCCTACTTCACAGGGTAGTGGTTGGAATAAATGAAATGAGATGATGTATGTAAAACTTCTACTCTAGTGCCTGACATAGAGCAGATGCTTCATTCATTTGACCAATATTAATGAAACACCTTACTACATGTCAGGCACTGTGCAAGGTGCTGGAAATAAAAGTTAGTATGAACAGACTTGGCATCTGTCTTCTCGGGGTGTGCAGTGTAGCCACCCATTGTGTCACTAACAGTGCCACTTACTGAGTGTGGCCTGTCTTGACTGAGGTGCACAGGTGGTAATTACAAGACGAGCAGAATACAGGCACTGCTTCTGAACTGCTTACATCTGATTGAAAAGCTAGGACAACCACAACCACATAATTGGGTGGCTCTGCCACTAATTAAGTGATCTTGGGAAAATTATTTAACCATTTTGTACCTCCGGTTCCCCATAAGTAAAATAAGGAGTTTGGACTGGATTAAAGGTTCCCAAACTTGACTGAGTATGGGAATTGCCCGGGGAACCTTTTAAAAGTACATATTGCAGGGACCCACCCAGACCTGCTCATCAGAATCTCTAAGTGTGGGTCTCAGGGATCTGTAATGATTTTTAAAATGTCCCCAGGTGATCCAACACAGCTATCTTGGTCTTAGTCCATATGTAAAATCCCTCTTTACAAAAGAGCCCTGGGGTAAATTACTGTAATCCAAAGCTGGAGCAAAGAGTGCCACAGAAAAGGCACCAGTAAGAAGTCATGAGAGTTGGGAAAAGGCAAACATCTCTTGGGGTGGGGGGGCGGCAGCACTGAAGCAGAACTTGAGCTGGGCCTTGGATGAGGGCTGGAACCTGAATTTGAGGGACAGAGAAAGGGAAGAGGATGGAGAACTGAAGCCAAACATTTGGCGGAGGACAGACTGTTTGAATGGGAATGATGGGGTCTCAGGCTGGCAAGGTAAATCAAAACCAACTTCTTTAGTTATTCCATTCATTCATCCATCTGTCCATCTGTCTGTCTG